TATATATATATATATGTATATAAACTTATAAAATAACTTAAATCTTTTACAAAAAATTTACCCGGTAAACAATTTTTATAAGAACATGTGCATAAATATTCGTATATAAAAATATTATAATAACATATACATATAGTTATATACGAAACATGTCCATATACAAGGTGTTTCCTCTAACTTTATCATTTAAAATATCTCTATTGTTTTTGATGATACGGGAAAATACTACAAGGAAAAGTTGTTTGATTGGAAGGGACACGTATGTATGATGAGCAAAAAATTTTTCTAAACGTCATAATTTTTGAGATTTCGAGATCATCGCGACTTTTTTAAATGAAACATCATATTTTTATTAATGTAGTAATGTAGTTCATAAAAAAACAAATCCAACCATATATGATATGTTGTTCTTCAGATGACCTTGGAAATAAAAAAATCACATTTATATGGAAAAAAGAAGGATTAACATACTTAAGTATTTTCAATGAAAATATTTATTTACTTTATTTAGTTCAGAAGATGTTTGAAATGATTGCCATTAACTTCCATACATTTTCGAATGCGATAAATAAATGATTGTTTCGCATTTTCAATGATTTCCGAGATCACTCAATGTAATTTATCTACTAAAAGTGTTTGGAAAATGTTGAAACTCCATAATTTTCATCCTTATCGCGTATGCTTACATCAATCTTTTGGTGATAACGATTTTCAAAATAGGCAAAGATTCTTCGAATGGGTTCTACGCCAGTTAAGATTGATCAACAATTCTTCGATTATGTGTTGTTTACAGACGAGTCATCTTTTTACAAATCATGGACAGTTAAATACACACAATATGCATTATTGGGCCGTTGACAATCCACATTGGCTTCGACAAGTACAACAGCAACATCCATGGAGTGTAAATGTCTGGTGTGATATTGGAAATCGCGTTATTGATCCATTTTTTTGAAAGGAAATTTAAATGGACAAAAACATGCAAATTTTTTAGGAAATGAGTTACAAATATTATTAGACGAAGTTCCATTGAGCTACATATTATATTAGAATGTGGTTACAGCAGGATGGTTGTTCAGCGCATAATGCACTTATCACACGTAATATGCTTAATAGAATGTTTTCCGATCGCAGCACACTCTATACAATCTATATAGCTTCATTGAAAGGGTCTCGTAATTTAAAGTCATATTACGCGTAAACGATTAAAATTACGACAATTATGCATAGGACCTTCTTCATGGAGAATTTCAAAAGCTTTATTTTTTGTTGGACACTTGTTTTTCTAAAATCAATATTTTCCGAAATATACGCAAGAGAATTTTTTTACAATTTTTTCAAAATGGCAGCCAAAAGCCAAGTGCTAAATTTCATTATCAAATTCGTTTTCAGCAGCCAAAAATACGTAAAAAATTTTGCTGCCGTTAATGTTCCAAGTCATGTAGTTCTTCTGAAGGTTTACCATCTTTTTCTCCGTTCGACTTTGTTCATTCTGACAGTCATCTTGGATGCGCCATTTCGATTTTTCGAAAAGATTACGTTTTTTTTTAAGAGTAGACATCTCGAGCAACAATTTAAGCAAACAATTTAATCGAGTCCAAAACGAATACTGTAGGCCCCTCTAAATTTTGGACAGGGGGGGAGTGACCTATTTGACAAAGAATGCCCCATATATATATACAGGGTGTCAGGCAAAAACCGCAAAATATTTCGTACCTGGATAGAACAGACTAAACTGAGTCGAAAAGTCCTGTACCATTTTGCAAGTTTCCCCAATAGTTAACGAGATATTAATCCTTAAAGATAGCCGAATACGCGCACTCGCCCGGTCTACCACTGCGAGTGTCTGTGAAGTTAGCACGACGTTTTATTAATTTTCAAAAAACAATGGTTATTCCAGTAGCACTTTTCATTATTCTACTGTTCTTGTAAATATTAAAAAACGTTCAGCGTGTCTTTAATACCAAAAAATCGAAAGTAAAGAAATGTCGTGCTAACTTCACGTTCCAGCACGGCACATCTTCCTCTATAGCAGTGTTGTTAGATGAGCCCCCTTTTAGCGCATGCGCACTGCAGCGTTGGAGAAATCCAGGAATATATAACGGCCATTACGGAGGATGAGAGAGAAGAGTCCTGGTGGGATCCGGCCATAATGACAATTAGATGTAAGTAAAATAATATTTATAGATATAAAGTAAAGTTTTCGGCAGTTTCCCTTATCCTTGCAACAAATGTTGGTATTCCTTATAATTCTGCCAAATAAAATATTATATCTATTATAAATTTCTGTTTATTTATTTAGGAATCTTACACCTTTAACGTATATTTACAGTATAACACTAAATTAGATGGACAGTCTTAATTATTGTTATTATTGTTATATTATTATTGTTATCAATTATTGGCGTTTCCAGTTTATGTAACTTTATATTATATTATAATCTCGTCACTTCTATTATTGATTTTTTTTTACTGATTTCGGTTTTTAATAATAAATAATAACAAAAAAACAAAAAATGATATAATTTTTACAGAAACGTCAAAATAGGGCCTTAAAGAACCTTTATAAGTTCGACATTAGTACAGCATTGATGCTATACTCCAATGCGCATGCGCTAAAAGGGGGCTCATCTAGCAACACTGGTCTAAAGTACCAGAAGCCATTGAAAATATTGCGACATCTGTTAAGTGTTCCGGTTAATTTTAAACAAAATACATTATTATACGAGTATGAAGTTTCAGGTCAAAATTCCAACAATTAATAACTTTTAAACAGTTTTGATTTAATCTTATTCCACGAAAAAGTGTCATGACAATTTTCAGCATCTTTGACGACAGTTCTGCTCAAGATTTATGTGGAACAATCATAACCAAAAATTGTTCCCGCTTGCAAACGTTTTTTAAACAATTTAACTGTTGCTACCAGCACGTCACTCAGCGGAAATGTGACGTGCTGATAATTTTGAGCAGTTTTTACGATAGTTTTGACTTGTTCTACTCAAGATCTATGTGGTACAATCATAATCAAAAGTTATCCTCGCTTGCAAACATTTTTTAAACAATTTAACTGTTGCTACCAGCACGTCACTCTGAGGAAATGTGACGTGCTGATAATTTTGGGTAATTTTAACGATAGTTCTGACTTGTTCTGCTCGAATATTATGTAATTTTGTCATTTTCAAAACTTATTGTGATTATCTTATGAATGAGCCCTGGGGCTAAATCTTTCAGTATTTAATAACGTTTTTATAATAATATAATATTTTTGTTTTTATTTTCAAACATTTTCTGTTTATTTTGTCATTGTTTAAAACATAACAAGCGTTTAAATTACAATTTATATTTATTTTGTATTTTTTAAAAATTAATTATTAATTTTATTTAAAAATTTTTATGTTTCAAAAATTAAGAGTACGAAAGTAGTTAATATAGAAATTTCACGAAACTTTGCAATACTCGTTCGGTACTGTGCCGTTGAGCAATACATCCGTCAAAGGGTTCGCGCGGCCGACCGCTTAATTGCGCCTCCTCTGACGGCGGAAATTTCTTGCCCTGTGGTTGGTTATTTTCAAATGCTCACCGTTTGAAAACTATTGATGCCTTAAGATTTTGCTATTAAAATTTTCGATTTACTTTTTCATGAGGAATATGTACTTACCGGCTCCTCCGGTAACTCTGCTAGGGGTGATCCCGATTGACCACGGCTCGAA